ATAACATAAATAAACACAACAGAAAAGTGACTCCCAACAGTGGAAGAGATCTAACTCTTCCAGGCTGACCCAGTTGGAGGGTCGAGGGTGTAGTCTCTCCTCTAGAGAGGGCCCAATACTAGAGATGGTAATCAATTTTAACAAAAGAAATAACACCATCCTATAAGTCCAACTTAATAAAGCTACGATTGCTATCTCTCCCCCTGATCAAAAAATGAGGTCAAATGATTAATTAGTTAACAGGCAGAGTCCGACAAGGAAAAAGCTACCTCACCAGAATGTAGTAAATTTACAAGAGAGCCTCAGCTGTTCTCCTCTGCGTCATCTCTCTGAAACCCCTTCAGTTTCTCCCTCGCTCTCTGCGCCGTAGAGTTACTCCTCTCCTGACGATCTGATCTCCGCTCCCATCCGAGAAGCTCCGACAGTGCGGCGTCCAGCGCATGTTCGCTGTCCCTCACCCGCGGCGGGTCCACTGAGATACCTCGTTTCTGTAGCTCTTTCCTTGCTGCTTCTGCGCTGCTGTAGGTCTTAACTCCAGTGTCCCAGTGGATCCTTATGCTTGTGAAAGGCGTCTGAAAGCGCACTCCTTTCTCCTTTAAAGCTTTCTTAACAGCGTTGAATTCTTTGCGCTTCTTAACAATCTCGGTCGCGTAGTCATGATCAAAGTAGAGAATACGATTGCATTATTTTCCCCTTTTTCCAAGCCTCCCTCAGTATCAGCTCCTTGGTCATAAATTCCTGAAAATTAATAATAATTTGCCGTGGCGGATCTTCGGGGCGAGGTTTCTGCGCCAAGGAGCGATGTGCCCGTTGGATTTTCAGATCCACCTCTTTCAGAAGTGGCAGTTCACGTTTAAGTAGGGTCGTAATGAACTGGGAAACCGAGCTTCCCTCTTCTCCCTCTGTCAATCCAAACATCCGGATATTGTTTCTTCTAGATCGGGACTCCAGGTCCGTCACTTTGGCTTGGAGGGCCTTCTGTTGTTTAACTGAGGCAGAGATCACGGCATTTACCTCTGCTGCCCAGTCCTCCATGCGCCCCACACGAGTTTCCACTTCATTAATCCGGCCAGACAAGCTTTGAATGTCTTTTGTCAGGTTGTCAAGTTTGCCGTTGAGTTCTTGGCCCATAAGGTTGATTTCTTGACGTAGGGAACCGTTGTCCTTTGTCAGTTCAGACTTCAGGTCTTTAATCGCTGCCATTAGGTCACTTGAGTTCACGTCAGTCCCAAGCGTCGGGGCGTCCTCTGAGTTGATAGCGTTAGCTTTTGCCGAACTGCCTTTTTCTTGACTTTTTGGCATATTTTCTTTCCTCTTTTTGCCTCTTGTGAGTCCCTTCCCACTCATCAAACATATAAGCCACACAATTTTCAGTTAACGAGTTTTTGGTGGGGAAAAATAAATTTCTAATGGGGGAGCGATCGTAAGTGCGTCTGTCTAGTCCATGGGTGAACCGGAAGTCTTCGGGTCACACCATGCTCATACTTTTCATGTTCATACTTTTCAGTTGGCCAACATTTCTATAAATCCTTTGTTTTTATTGGTCTTCAGTAATATTCTAATTTTCTGATATGATGAATATGAGATTTTCATTTGTTGTCATTTGTAATCATCAAAATTAAACAAAATAAACATCTGAAATATATGAGTTTGTATGTAATGTATGAATATAATATACAAGTTTCACTTTTTAAATGGAATTACTGAAATCAATCTACTTTTTCATGATATTCTAATTTTATGACCAGCACCTGTATGTACTGAGGTTGCCTCAGTTAGAGCCCCATCTCTCTGTCTGAGGACGTTAAATAAATTTGAACCTTTTATTCCTGCAAGAAACGCCTCTGCCTCAGCTTCCTAACTCCACAGCAGTTACCGTGCTCGGACTGATCTCAGCACGGTTTAAAGGGATAGTGTAAATGGAGTTATAGTTCCTGTCAACACAAGCATCAGTCAGTCGTTTTGACCCTCCTGTCTACAGTCTTCCCAGTGCTGTTATCTTCATAAGAACGTTGGATCACCCTTCAGTTTTTCGTTAGCTTTTCCCGTCATTTTGTGGTCTATGAAAGCAGTACCTTCCATGGTCTCCTGATGCCTTTGAAGAAAGCAGGCATCCACATGGGCAGCACCACCGCTTCTTTCAGGAGTTTCTTGGCGTCTTCTAAATCTGCGATGTCATCCCTGGAAAATCCAAAACATGAAAATATAGAGCAGCTTGCTTTGTTTAACTTGTTTCTTTGCATCCTTAAGTCAAATTAAACATGGAGGATGAGACGAGCAGCCATCATGGCTCCCCCCCCCCCCAGCCTATAGAGAATTAACACCTTAATGCCTGACAGTGTACAAAATATAATTAGTGTTTTTGCTGTCGGTCAGATTCTAGGTTAATTTGGGATATTAGTTTTTAAATATCACTTTATAATTAGTGGAAACTTGGGTGTGAAGCTAATTAGCGACACCAGGCGTCTAAAGAATAAAACCTTTCATCTCAGCATGTTGAGTATTTTATTAATGTACAGCTCAGACGTATGGATTAAATCAAAATGTGTTCTTAAATGTGGATTACTTTATTAAAGCATTTTAAATTTGGAGAAAATCGACTGGCTACCCAGTCTACAGAGCTGCTAATCCTTCCTTTGAAAGAAGAAAACTGTGTCAGGAATTTAACTACTCGTTTTAAAATAATCATTTTCATTATTAAAACGAGTTTCATATTTAACATCCTATTGAGGCACTTTCTATGAGCTGTTGCCCCCACTTCCTCACCGCCTCGACCGCATCTAGACCCACAGCTAGTTCCTGATTGTCCAGACTATAGCGCAGACCACGCTTCAATATTGGGCATAATTCAAAAATATCTACGACAAACACACTGTGACACGCTGCTGCGGGAGGTTAACCAGCCCTTTAGTCCTTGATGTGGGCGACCCGGGTTCAAATCGGACCTGTAGACCTTTGCCCCATGTCTGTCCCCCTCCCATACCCCCTCTGCTGTCCAAAAAACAAGCCACTAGTGCTGTACAACAAAAAGAAACTCATACATTAGCTGTAGGGCGAAAAAACTAAAAATGACCAATAAGTCTGGATTTGTTTGTTTAAACCGACTCAACACTAGAGATTCTACCAGCCAAATTCTGTGCTGTTTAATTTACATTCCAAACTACTAAATGATATAAAAGCACATTTTAGGCTCCATTAACCAACATTTAACATTCAGCATGCTGGGTGTATTTAGCCTGGAACTGGTATGAAGCTAATTAGCTTCACATTAATGAGAGGTTAGGACTGAAACCCTGATAATAAGTTTAGCTGATCGAGTTAAAACAGACAGACTTTGCAAAAGATCTACTCACCATTTCACATTTGGGTTCTGGGATATGATGTCCCTCTCTAGCGCCTCCACCAGGTCTTTGTCATATCCTGTCCCGTCAAACTTTTTCACTTCCTTCTCCTGCACATAAAAACAACATCAAGTCTTCAGATCACTGACTGTAACCTCATCCTCTGAGGGAAAACTGGAAGAACAGGCCAGCTGTGAGCAAACAAGCAGCGTCAAGCCGCTGTTTGATCAGCAGAGTTATTGCTGAAAACACAAAGTTCTCCAGAACTACTCCATGCTGGTCACCTTGTCATCCTTTGCTTTGGCAGCAGCCTCCTTCACCTCCTTGGACTCCTTCTTCTCTTTGCCTCTGGAGGCCCTGCTTTTGTCTCCGTTGCTGCCTCGCGGTGACTGCTTCTGATGGGGTCTCACCGCCGCGCTCAGCCGGTTGTTGGGAGGTTTGCTCTCCTTATGGAAGTTAGAACGTCTGACGGGACCGGGAGAGTGTCTGCGACAGCAGGAGAGGACATTAAAGCTGGAGGCCGGGTCAGAGGGGACGCTACTGGCAAAATGGGTTCAGTTACTGAGGGGGCAGAAAATTAAAATGAAACCTCAGACTTCTTCCAAAAGGCCATCATTCAAGACGATTCTGGGAAGCTCTATGGAACTGAGGCTGAGCGCAAAGTCAATGTTTATTTTCACAGGATGAGGTTAGAGCTCTTTAAGAGCGTCTGAGGATGATGATGATGATGAAGAGGGAAAAGTGGCAGAAAAATGGGGCTTGTAATAAAATGATGAGGATCGACATCTCAATTATATGGAGCAGCTACACTATGCTAACAAACAGAAATCAGACCAACCCTGGCCTTCTGTTCACTGCCAAAGACGCCATCTAGTGGCTATACTAAGAAAATTTGTAAACAACCGGGTCAAGATGGGTCGGGTCAGTTTAAAACTCATTAATTTTCCATTAGTAGTGGTTCAACGGTAACGTTACTAAAAGAAATGCTAACAGCTAACAAAGAGTTGGTACCATTGGAAAAGGGTCGTTAGAGATCAACCGATACAGTTAAAAAATGAATCAGATTTCATGTTTCCTTGCTCCAGCACAGCTGATTTTAATTGAAAGCTGATTAACAGGCTTTTGCTCAACTGCAATCATCGGAATCAGCTGTGCTAAAGCAGGGAAACCTCTAAATCCTGCAGGACGGCGGCCATCAAGGAGCAACTTTTGGGACGCCTGTTTTAAGCCCGAAGCGACTGTTCCAACCGCTGCATTTCCGAATTCTCCTGAGTGGTGCCTGACTTTACACTAGGGAAGTGAATGTGATCTGTCAATTATCAAGGGGGCGGGATTGTTGTGGTGGGAGGTTCACAAGAAAGTTTGGTTGTGGTCTGTGTCTCGGAAGCATCTTGCTAACCAGTTAGCAACTTAATGCTAGCAGGTTCCCAATGGGAAATTCCATTGGGACCAAGTAGCACTAAATTGGTGACTTAGAAACGACACTGTCAAGGAACACTAAAAAAATGAGCAACTAGTGCCGTAAAAAACAAAAAAATAAAATGTCCAAATTGACTTCAACTTGAAAAACAAACACTGCTGGCTTCTGTCTATCCAGCTGTGAAGCTGCTTCATGCATGAAGCTAAACTGGTGGCTAAAAAGTGCTGCTCTCAGTAGTGAAGGAAAACTTCAGATAAAGACATTAAAAACATTTTCACTTAAAGGTTTATTTAAACAGCTAACCACTATTATCAATTCTGATCATTTAAAGAGTCAGCATCTGTTAAAAAGATAAACATAACTGAAAGAATGGCAGAGAGAGCATAAAATCCTCAGCAGCAAAGCAAACAAGCTCCCAGCAGGAACTGAGGCTCCTGATCTCAGTCATATGACTGCAGCTGGATTATGGGGAGTTCAGCCTCTGAATGAGGAGCCCAAACACCCAGCAGCGTGTTACTGAGAAAACTAAATACCTTGGTTCTACATGCGCAGGCCTCATTTCAAAGTCGTCGTGGTTGGAGGCTTTAACAGGCGCCGTGTCCAGCTGGAAGCTCCTCAGGGTGGACATGATGTCCTGAACCTGTCGGTTCTCCTCACTGACTTCCTGCCACAGCTGAGAAACGGGCGGATCAGATAAAGTCAGCATCCTGGTGCAGACGTACCCATCAGACTTTTCTGCACAGATTTACTGTTTTTTTGCAGAGCTTTGGCAAACAAACTAGTACAAATCAGCTTTGCAGTTTCTCCTAATTTCATTATAAAGTCTCCAAACTTCAATTTTATTAATAAATTAAACATTCTGTTAGATGATGCACAGGTCGAACTGAACAGATTGGAGTTCTTAGTTTTAATACATTGAATTAACCTACGGCATGTTTTCAGAAGCCAGGGGTGGAGGTTTACCTGCTGCCATCTCTGCTGAATGCCGCCGTCCTGCACGCCGTACATGTGCTTCCTGATCTGTTCCAGAAGGCCGTTATAGAGAACGCTGGCTGAGCTGTAGTTTCCCAGCAAGGCGTACTCCCGCGCCAGCTTCATGTTCTCGCTGATATCTCGCAGACTCATGCTGCAGCAGAAGCAAAGGTAAAGCATTACTCTATTATCTGGTGGCACTGGCTACGTCTATAAACACAAAGCAGGGTTATTTCTCACTTTTACAGCCATATAGCTTTAAAAAAAAAAAAAAAGTATGAAGTCAATTTTGTTCCATTATTTTTGCAAGAAAAGAATACTCTTTGTAAGTTGAAATAAGAAAAATTAAATGTTATCCAGAAATAAAAGTTTGAATAGTGTTTTAACAATAAAAAAATATATGTATTGAGAGTAACTTCGCCGTTTTCTCTGATTTAGTTAAAAAAAAATAATTTTTATATTCTACTTTTTTCAAAAACTTTTTTTCGCATATTTTATATATTTAATTTTCTTTTTTTTTTTAGAATTGTGTTTCACAGATCATTCTCATCCCTTAAAGTCCAATGCGAATGTTCACTTTTCACCAATCGATATGTTTCCACAGCCAGCAGACCAATAGAAATATGTCTTCCTTCTCTTTTACTTCCCCCAGAAGTAAGGAGAATGTGATCTGTTAATTTATAACCTGTATAATTTTTAAATATAATAATAAAAACAATCATAATAAGAATCAAAAAGAAGACAAGACGAGGGAGAAGACAAATAAAAAGCATTTCATCTTTCTCTTAAACGATATGACAGCTCTACAGATGGCAGTAACTTGGTCTTGGTAGTGAACCAGCAAAGTCACATGATCTCAGTGATGGAGGGTCAGCGCCAATCATGATGGAGCTCTGGTGTGTAAAGGAAAGAGATCCCATGAAATTATATGAATCAGAGACGACATGACTCTATATCAATAGATATAAATCTAGATTGGGGGTGCAGGTGATGCAGCAGTTAGCGTGTACGACCCATGTACGGAGGCTTTAGTCCTCAACGCGGGCGACTCGGGTTCAAATCCGGCCTGTAGTCCTTTCCTGCCTGTCTCTCCCTCTCTCTTACCCCCTTTCCTGTCAGCCTACTGTCTATAGAAGACGGGCCACTAGTGCCGTAAAAACTGAACAAAAAAAAAACATCTACATCTATATTGATTCATCTACAGACATGGAAAATATACACATATTAACCACCCTTGTTTTCTTTAATTGCTTGTTTTAAAGATGTATTTATTACCTGAAGAACACAATGAAAAAGATAAAAGGTCTAGTAATACATTTCCTTATATCAACAGATATTTCAATAAACATTTTTAAAAAGCATGCCTTAAACATAACATTTCATTAGAAGAGAACAATTTCAAAATCTGAACATTTTGATCGTGATGCTGCGATCCATATTTTTCACTACTATTTGGATACTTGAATTTGTTACAGTTTGCTTTAAGGTTCTCATGATTTAGATTTAGATTTATTTAAGATGCAGTTATAATCACCTCTCTACATTGATATATGATATGAATGTAGACAGGTAGTTGCCAAAAGCTGACCTGGGACCAATTTAAGGTCAGAAAAGGAAACATAAAATTATTGTGTTTAGAGGACTGATTACATCCAAGAAAAAAACAACCAGCTGTACAGTTTCAGATTGATCTTATATATTATATGAATGGGGTATCCGGTTTAAGAGATTTTTAATCCAATTAAATAAGCACAGAAATAGACTGAATAGATCAGCATCCACTGTATGGATCTGCCCTATTTTCATCAATACCTGAAGCAGAATTTTAACCATCAGGAGCGATACTGCTAAGAATATTGGATCAGTACATCTTATTTTTTTTTTACAAACCTCTTCTATACAGAAGAAGGCGAGCTCTGTGATTGGATGCCCTCTGGACTCAGAGCAGGAGGTGGAAAACAAAAGGATCCTAACTAAATTAACTCTATGGGATAATGTCTCCCACCTCATGCATGAAGCTGGTGCTGAACTGGAGAGCTTCTTCAGTAACAGACTGCTGCACCCTAAACGCACCAGGGAGCGTTATCACAGATCCTTCCTCCCAGCAGCTGGAAGACTTTATAACCACCACTGTTCCCAACAACCTCATTAAGTTCTTACATTCATGCTGCTTTTTGCACAGCTTCTGTCTTAGTTAAATAACTTCCTGTTGTCATTTTGCACATCTCTGATGTTGCTGCTATTTTCAAATATCCATTACTGTAAAAATGTCCATAGCTCTTTATTGATTAGTTACTCTCCAGATGCAGACAATTTATATTGTAAAAACACTGTACAGTACTAATTTGTTTGTTTAACTCTGTTACTTGTTCACATTCACTGTCTGCTTGAGCTTATTTCGCTAAATGGCAGAAAAACTGATTTTTCTCTTCTAGGACATTGTGCACATTAAAAAAAACTCACAAAAGATTTTATTATACAGACCAACCATTAACAATTTCAAATTAATTTAAATGGGGGGAAAAAACGAAAAACTATTGCAAAAAATTATATTACTAACTGTAGTTCAGCAGTCCACCAATAGGTGGTGACAATGAGGCTTCATCTCAGCATCACTACAGAACAGCTAATCTAAAATTAGTTTCTTCATCAGCGGAAACAGTTTGCCACATTAATAAAACATAAGAACCCTGTATTTCAGGGGGGTTAAAGTTATTAAAGATCAAATAAAAATAAATGTGTCGACATGCTGCATCATTAGTTTTATGCCACTTGTTGATAAAACGGTGCTAAAATAAAATGCCTCCATATGTCAGAGCCACCAGTGGAGGAGGTTCTGTTAGCTCTGGTTCAGGCAGCAGGAAGCAGTTTGTGTCTAAATAGGGCTAAAGCGAACAGAAACACAGTGGAAAGTCTCCATGAAGACCAGCCAGAGTGTTAGAAGAAGCGCTAGCCTGGCTGGCTGGAGCTAAACTGTTCATGTTCACCAACTGCTGCCAGCGGAATAAAAGTCCTCACTGAAACCGACTAGAAGAACAAGAAGTCTTCTACAAACCTGTTCCGACAGAAGTTTCAGCTCCGCTAACTTCATGGACACGCAGTTTGTTGATATTATCCACGACAAGTTCTACAAAACATTTCAAACTGACGCTGTTCGGCAGCTTTATAGCTCACCTTATCCCGGAAGTCGGTCACTGTGAACGCTGAAGTTTAGACTTCCCCTGTGGATTTTCAAAATAAAACTTTTCCGTTGTAAAATAAGGTAAAAATATAATAAAACTCTACTGAGGTCCCGCTGGATAAAGCTGTTGCTTGAAAAACTGGGAAAAAAGTTAGGCTCTGTTGGAATTTATGGGCATATTTGTGTTTTATGGGGTAAAGAGAAAATTATGTGACTCTGCAAGTCTTTAGTGAAATCATAGCTATACAACTATTTTAATTAAAACCTATTAAATAATCAATTTATGTAGATATTATAACTTGTTAATATCAGTTTTATGCAGAATGATTACTAATAAAAGTAGGTAAGTAATGACAATGGAAAAGATATTCGCCCAAAACTCAAACCTGAAAACATTTTATCCACTATACCTTTTATCTAGAAATCCCGGATGTTGAATACATTTTTCTATTTGTTAGCAAACGCTGTTGGAAAATACAGTTTGTCTTTATTTAGAAAATATGGAGGTTTTGCTCGTTAATTTTCCTGTTGGAACAGTGCAGATTGACCCTGAGGTTCTGGTGCCTATCCACTCTCGGCCCCCCTCAGTGTACATTGGTTACTGCCTGGCCACCCTTATTAACATTTTCTGGATACGCCTCTGATAAGGAGACGGAAGAGTTTTGGCTATGAATTCAAACAGGTCTAGCCTTCCTTGGCTTTCACCGCTGCACATCGCTTAGCAACAGTGATAGTTGACACACAAAACAGGAAAAGAATGAATACCAAACTTTTCAAAAGTGTTTATTTTTATTTTTTTTATTGTAAAGTGAACAAAGACTTCAGTCATGTGAATCCAGAGTGGAATAAAGGTGCCAACCACCGGGAGCAGAAACAAATAAAA